AAAAAAAAAAAAAAGACAGAATTAATTAATCCTTGCAAAATGATGCAAGCTATAAACAATTGCCCAAGATCCCCTCCCACTGCTCCAAGGCGCTTGCCTGCAAAAAAAAAAAAAAAAGGGGGGGGGGCTATGGGGTACCTAGTGTGGAGCTGACAAAAAGCTGAGTTTGTGGATGGAGCAGGGAAGTGAAAGAGCGCTGAGCAGTCTCTGAGCCCTAGAAGGTCCAGCCAGGCCCAGCGCCCGCCTTCCCCAGGAGGAGCCAGCGGGGCTCCTTATAAGGCCTGGGTCAGCGCTGAAGGTGAGTGAGGGGGCCTGGGGTAGGACAGTTTGCTGGAGCTGCACTGTCCAAGGTGGAACCCACTAGCCACATGTGGCTATTAAAATTAAAATTAAATAAAATTTAAAAGTTAGTCTGTCAGTCACACTTGTTCCAACATTTCAAGTCCTGAATTGTCACACGCATCAGGTGTCACCCTCTGTTACGGCAGAACTCTATTGGACAGCGCTGCGGATGGAGGAAGGGGTATGGGAGTTACGCCTGCTTGTCCGGAGCTCATGGACACCTGACTTAGCCCGTGCTCCAAGAAATGACCCCTGAGCTCTGTATAGTTTAGTTTCCTTCGCAATTTGAGGGAATTCCCAAAAGCTGGGGAGCAGGTAGGGGGGGTCTCAAGAACCCCCTCATTAGAGAGGATGATGAAGATGACAGAGGCAGGCAGGCAGCTCCTGCTAGGACCACCCATAGTGCCGCACCTGTGGTCTCTTAGGTGGTCTTGCCTCCGGAAGGCTTTGTGGCAGATGTCACAGGTGTAGGGCCGCTCATCCGTGTGCGTCCGCTCGTGGATGAGCAGGTTGTAGGACTTAGTGAAGTGGCGGCCACAGAACTTGCAGACGAACTCCTTCTTGGTCTTGGAAGGCAGGCGTCCTCTCGTGGGCTTCTTTTCCGGGGACAGCTTGGTCACATCCAGGAGGGCGCCCAGCCCACCAGCTGGGGAGCCGGGACCCTCCCCGCGGCCAAGCTTGGACGGATCTTCTTGCGTGGCGGCCAAGGCCAGGTTGGCAAAATCAAACCGCGGCTTGGTCTTGAGCGCCACTGGGCCACTGCTTCCAGCAGTGATCTCCGGCTTGGGCTGGATAACGTGGGGGAACCAGGGAAAGGCGGGCAGCTGGAAGCGCGCGTCCACCAGGTTGGACATGGCTCCTGGCACTTTGGAAAAAGAGGATCGTGGCAAGTGCATGGCCGGGTAGCCCAGCGTCCACTGGTGCAGGTGCACAGCGTGCAACGCGCTGAAACCATACAGGTTGGGCAGGTGGTCCGAGGGCACCGCGGGCAGGCCGTTCACTGCCTGAAGGAAGGAGTAGTTGGTGAGCTGCAGGGAGGGATGGATGGGCACTGGCGCCGGCAAGGTTTTGCTACCCATTGTGGCAGGTGTGGTAGGTTCTCAATCAGGATCTGCAAAGAAAAGAGGGGCGTGGGGAGAGGGAAAGTTCAGGGTCATCATTGGCCTTCTGAATTCCAGCCCGGCTACACCCTTTCTGTCCCCTAGGGCAGAAGCTGACACCACCCACGGAACCCACAGACCTAAAACAAACAAACAAACAAAAACCACCCCCAAACCAGGAACCCTCTCTGATCTGAGGGCTCCCTCCAAATGGCCTCTGGCAAAAACACGAAATTTGATAGAGAAACCAGCAGGAAACTAAATCCAATGCAATGCAACCGACTGAAACGCAGGACTATGGTGTGTACATGAGACAGAGAAAGGCAGAAACGGGGAAACTGACATGTAGAAACTTTCAGCCCGAGTCCACACAGAAGTACACTCTCCTGCAAACACAACAGGAACTCGGAAGCACACTTACATATCCATGCGCAAATAAACACAGAAACGCACACTGACAGATCCACACGTTCCCAAGCAGAGTTGACAACAGGGTGCAAAGATTAAGTGGGACGCCAGTGTCCCGCCACAAAACAACACGCAGGGAACAGCACACACATACACGCGAGGGATCACGCTGCACTCCACGCAAACACACAAATCCACACAAATCCACACAAATCCACACAAATCCACACATCGCCCAGCCCCCCTGCGTTAGGTCTCCCAGCTGACCTTCAGTTTGGCCTCTAGATGCATCTCATTTTCTCCTTCAGACTCTCAACTTTGACCACAAATGTGCTTTTCTGACTCACCATTAAGGAGCCCTGCTGACAACACCCTCTCTGAAGCTGTTTGTGGACTGACGCCCTTGGGGATCACCTTCACTTCAGGGAGGACACTGACACCCATTCTGCATTAACAGTCAAACACCTGCAGTTGCACACAAGGGGGCTCCAGTGCCCTCCCTACCCCGTAAAAAGGGGGGCAGGGGCTTTGGGGTCTCGGGATGTTTGTATGCAAAGTGAGCCCTGGGCAGGTGGGCTTGCCCATGGGCCAAAGGGAGCAACAAGGCCTGCCTCAGCTGCCGCGGTCTCGCCACCACCCAACTGTAAGACCAGGGAGCCGAGCAAGGCCAGAGGGAAGCCGCGCTGAAGTGACCACCCGGCTGGCATCTCCTGGCCTCTTTGGTCAGAATCTCCAGCCTCCATGGACAGGTCTGTGCTCCGCAGAGAGACCTTTATCTCTGTCCTTCCCACACACTTAAGTCCTTCTAGTGGAGGCAGAAGCAAGGAGCACCGCCGTGAAAAGCACACCCTCCCTGAAGCTGAGCTCCCTCTGGGATGCTCAGGCGCTGAGCTCCCTCTGGTCCCGGCCCTGGGCTGAGGGCTGCTCAGGAAGGCCTTGTGGGAGCAGGGTGCTTCGGGCAGCTGCCTCCTTTGCCTCTCTCCATCCCCGCGGCCCCCTTCCTTTACCCCTCTTCGTCCTCTGCTCTTGCTCAGGTGTCCCCTCTAAAGGGCAGTGAGTCCCCTTCGCCGGGATGCCGGGACTCCGCCGAGCTTCCTCTCCGGCGCACACCGACGCCGGCCTGGCTCACCCTCCGCCAGGCCCGGGCCTAGACTCAGCCGCCTTTCCCTGCCGCGCAGCCTTTCAATGAGCAGAAAGTGTCGCGCTCCTGCCGGGAGGAGCGCGGACACTCTGGACCCGGGAACTTTTTCCGCAGGAGGCTGGCAGGAGGGTCCCTCGCTGTGCGTTGGACCAAAAGGAAAGAGGCTCTGCTGGGGGTAGGGGTGGGGGTTTCAAAACTCCCAGAGCCCGGAAAGATCTGCTTGCGCTGGTTAAATGAGCAGCCAAATGAAAACCTAGTCTGACCGCAGCAATTAATTCAGCCTTGGGGCTACGGAGGCAAAGATCCGCGGAGATCGCGCCTCGGGAGCAGGAGCGCGCGCGGGCGGCGCGCAGAGCCGCGGCCTCCGCGCCAGTTTTCTCTCCTGCTCGGAGCGAGGGTCGCGCCAGAGACACGCCGAGACCGTCCTAGAACCTGGGACGCGGAGAGGCAAAATAGGAGCTGGGCCAGAGAGCGAGCAGGGCCGTGTTGGGGTGGGGGGGGGCGGGGAGAAAACTCGCCAACTTCAAAGGTCGGCGGGACGTCCGCGAGGTGACTGCTCTTTGGTTCGCTGTCACCTCATCTACCCCTCCAGGCGCTGGAAATCAGACCTTATCTCCGGCTCGGCGGGGCCAGCCAGGCGCCGCCAGGGCCTCCGCTCCCTCCTCTGGGGGCTCGGCCTACCCCGCGGCCCAGGGCGCCCCGAGCCCGCTGTGCGCCCGAGGGGAGGACCCACAGACCCCGCGCGCGGACCTGGCCTTTCCTCGCGCACCCCCAGGAGCGAAGACCCGGGCGCACAGCGGGAGGAGGGGGTGCCTGCAGCCACCGCTGGGAGCCAACCTTCCCGGGCTATCTGCCTGATCTTGTTTCCCCCAACACTCAATTTATTTTCCTCGGCGGCGCGGCCAGTTTCTTATTTTCTGCCGTAGTCCGAGGCCGGGGCTCCTCAGACTCTCGCCAGCGACTTTCCCCGGGACGAAATTCGTTCGAAACGTGGCTCTTTACACTAATACCAAGAATGGGCCGAAGGGACGATCCGGTTCCTGGCGGGCAGCTGCGAGGAAAACACGGCCGCACACCCTCCCGCCAGCTCCGGAACCCCGGTGTGAACGCTTTGGATCTTTGAAGAGGAGAGGGAACCCCTCTCCCCAGGCCAGGCACCCGCTCGGCGAGGAGCTTGGGCCTCCGGGGCGCGGAGGTGCGGTTAAGGGTCCCGACTGCTCTCAGCAAGCGCACTTGGCGCTTGGAAGCGCGGGTCCCGCGCGGTGGAGCGCCAGCCCCGCGTCCGCGGCCGCCCGCGCCCGGCATTCGGGGAGGGAGCCGAGGCTATTAAAGTGGTTTCTCCGGGGCTAATTGAGCGCGTGCGAGTTAACTGTTTGCATTAATGAGGAAGGCGCGAGCTCCACGAGCTTGCGCCTGGAGGTGCCCAGCAGTAGCCCCAGAAAGTCACCCTTGACATCGAATCCCCAACACAAGTGACAGGCGTCTGAACCCCAGGCGGGAGGATCGTCCAGCCCCGGCTACTTTTGTTGAATTTTCCCAAAGTATTGGATGGAACGAATCCTTCAGCGAGGCGGCCGTCCCGCCGCGTTTAAATGCCCGTTGCGTCCTTAGCGATCCGCTCCCCAATTTTAATGAAATCACAGTTACTTCAAGGAGCCTCGGGTGGAACATCTACCCACTGGGCTCCCCCCACTTTGACCCCCCTGTGAATGCCAACCCCTCTCTTCTCAAGGAACCTGGGAAACTAACTAGCCTTGCACGTGGTTTCTGTTCCCAAAAGCCAGCACACGGCTCTTAGCCCAGGTGAAATTTACCAAATTGTGGCAACAAAGAAACCCTCGTAGCTACTTCACACCCCGAGCGCCTACCCCGCTGCTGCCCCAGCTGCTGAAAGGGGGCTGGATGTGAGTTTTCATTCTTATCAGAGACATCTCTGGGGAGAAATTAGCTCAGCAGGCCGCCCCTCACCTCTTTCCCTCTCCTCTCTCGATCCCACCTCTCCTGAAGGCTGGCTTTGCGGACAGTCAGCGGAGCAAACGAATCCTTCCTTCCCAAGCCCCAGCCTGGAGACACCGCCATAGTGTTTCTGCCGCTGCGGGTCTCGCATCCGAAAGCGGTGCTCGCGCCCCCTGCGCCACCCGGACGGCGGCGGGTTACCCTCCAGGCCTCGATCACAGGGCGCCGTCATCCCCAAGGGAACATCCCAAGGCCGAGCGCGCGAGCCAGACGGGGTCCGGCGCGGGCCCTGCGTCCCCCGGCCGAGCCCCCCTCGGACCTGAGCGCAACTACGCAAAAGACAACTTCGCCAGACGGCGCGACCCCGGGAGAGGCGTGCACCTGTCCCTGGCGCGGCCCGCGGCAGCCGTGGCCATCCTGGCACCCCTCTTCCTTCTTCGTCAGCTAAGTTCAGGCTGAGCAAGGCGCGCACCTCAGGGAGTCTGTGCCCGCTGAACTGCTCCCCTTTCTTAGAGGGGGGCCCACGGACTGACTGCCCAAGTCCGCGGGCACCTCGCCGGGGCTCCCGCGGAGTCTGGCCCCGCGGGGGGCCGTAGCGGAAGCCCACCCCCTCATTGCCCCGAGGTCAGAGGCCGGGGACCCCGCGCGGGAAGCCGCTGAGCCAGCACCCCAGCCTCCCTTGGCTGCAGCGGCTCTCACTTTCGCAAAGGTCCTGCAGCCTCCTTGGGCAAGAGGAGCTCCCTCCCGGGACGGTGAGAGAGGAGACACCCGACGCGCGGTGACAGGGAGCCCGGGAGTCCCGCCCGCGTTCCCGTCGCCGTGCCGGCGCCCAGGGCTGCGGTTACCTTGTTCGGCCGCGGTCCGGGGCTCCGCGCGTCTCTGGGGCTCCGGCTGCGGGGGACCCGGGAAGCCAGAGGCACTGGATTCCACTGGCGGCCCCGGAGCTCTGGGGTCCTGGCCCCTCTCCGGGTGCGGGGACTCGGAGCGCCCGGCGCGCGGGGAGCGCTCGGCG